GAGCCTACTCCTGAGCCTTCACCAGAGCCTACTCCTGAGCCTTCACCAGAACCAACTCCAGAACCGACCCCCGAGCCTACTCCTGAGCCAACTCCCGAGCCTACTCCTGAGCCTCCTTCTGGAAACTGTGGAGCTCAGAAATACCCAACGTCACCCAGGGGTCTGCAGAGTACGACTCCTGGATCCAGCATTTCCGCGTGTTCTGAGTCCTGTCTCGCGAATCCCAGTTGCAGGTTCTTCTTCTTATACTCGCAGACGACCTGCTATATCTTCACCATTCCGTTGTCTGAGGTCACTCAATTTACCGTCACCAACCGAGTTCTACTATATGAAAGGTCTTGCTTCGAGCCGGTTGTCACACCTACTCCCACTCCTACTCCTACTCCTACTCCTACTCCTACTCCTACTCCTACTCCTGAACCCACTCCTCAGTCTCTCGTGTGCCATCAAAAGGGCTACGCCAGCGGTCAGGACGGATCCTCAGCCTACAGTGTCCAAACCGCAGACAGTGATGCTTCCTGCCTTGCGATCTGTCGATCCCAGTCCCAATGCACGTTTGTCATCCTCGCCAGTCAAAGAGACTGCTTCCTCTACAATACCGTCTACAATAGGAACTCGCCAGTGGTCCCACTGGATTACATTTCGCTCTCTGAGAGGGATTGTGACATCTAGATGTAGTGACTTTCAATTTCATGGCTGAAAGGGGACAGAAGGAGGAGTCGGTTTTACGTGTTCCGACAGTGACGAGGTGCCAACAGCTGTATATATCTAGTTAATTCCATAACAATAATATCGTCATACAGATCAAACCTTAGCTTTTCGGTGTAATTGTTGTATCCCGTGCAATAGTGGTCTCTAGTAATGATTTTGTATACAGTTAAAGATTCTGCACGATAGTTAAGTGAGGACTATGAACACATTACTGCAACAAATTCCAATGGAAGATTTCAGTGAGATTGTGTTTGGTAAGATAAGAAAGGATCTTCTAGAAAAGACTTAGATAACTCCTTGTTGTTTTTGCCTTTCAGCTGCTTAATTCGATTGACTTCATTGACGATAAATTACTTGTATACAATATGTCACAGACAATCCACGGATTACTATGTGCCTCTAAAACATATAAGGGTGGTCGAAACTAGATGCATGAGAAATACAAGAAACGTATGTAAGTAGATAGTTTTAATCTTAACAAGACACATTAATAGTAAAGCTCTTGAGTACTTCACAGATAGAAATACACCGTGATAACTAAAACTACGACAGCATTGCTTGGTAGATAGGAGACAGTGGCGTGCCCCCGAATTTCTGTACGACCTAAACGACTTCGTAAAGACGGTATTTGTTCGATGGCATTGTGGTGTGGCATAGACATGAGATTAGGAAACATACTGTAATTAATCAATGATAATGGTTCATCTAATAACGAATATGGCCAGTGCGTGAACACGTTCAGCCGATAAACCACATTGTATTACTACTAAGAATAGCCAGAAGTGCAGCCTTAAACGGTTCATCTAACACTGTATATTCGGCAGTAGGATTTCCTTGAATAAGTATAATAATCGATGAGCCACTTGGCACAAGTGACTGTTAGAAATTCCAGATACTGATATCATCGCCGATGAAAGCATCCTCGAAGGCAAGTGTCAAGAGTGCAAGAGTACTGTAACCAAAAAAGGAGAACTGTATTTAATACACAGACACCATTGCTTCGCTTGAGGAAAACATTACTTGTAGACAAAGCGCCCGATTTGAAACCCCACACACATGGTATCGTGAACCAGATTACATAACACAAGTCCCCCCATATAACGCCAGAGGAATGCAAGAACAGAAAAGCTTCCATACACCGAGTTGGAAGAAGATAGAAGAAACTGTGAACAGAAAAATAGAATCACCCCTTCTAACCCACAATATCGATGTCACCATCCGCATCAATATCGTCTTCGCCATCAGCATCTAAATCGCCTTCACCTTTGAGTATAAGTGGTAACTGCGGTCTCACGGCTTCAAACTCCCTCGTAGCCTTGGCCGCTTCATCCATAAGCCCATTGCGCCGGTATGTATTGATACAAAGACCAGCTGCAACAGCCATCCACAGGGGCTTCCGACCTTTGATTGCCTGTGATCTCGCTGCACGGATAGCTTGGATACTCTTCTCGCCCACTGTATCAGCGAAGAAGCGTGCGACAAAGTAGCACATTGTCATGGCTACAAACTCGAAGTTTTGCGTCTTTTGAGAAATCTCTTGAGCTATGCCGACGGCTTGCTGAACAGTCTTCTTCTGGTGAGAGATGGCGGCAGCTTCGCCGTGGAATGCATGGACGAGACGGAAAGCCATGCGTATGTACTGATTTGGATGATCTTCGCAAAAGGGTTTGAGTTGCTCTAACAGCATGCTGGACTGGAAATGTTGTGGGTGGTTAGGATCGCGAAGAATGAGTAAGCGGTTCAAGGCTGCCATGACTGCTATATCAGCTCGAGCTGGAACCGCGTGACCTTTCTCCGGTATTGCAAGAACTTCTCCAGAAGAAGTTGTTATTGCAGATTCAAGATTGCCATTGACCTGATCGTTGACAGATGAAAGGTATGCAAGGGTGCGGGTAAAGGCTTCCTGACTGTTGTATGGAGGCAGAGCGATTCGCTTCTTCAGTCCACCAAGAACATCTTCAGCCGTTGCGTGGTCGTCCCGAGAGCAAGCCATGAGTCCGATGGAGAACATCGAATACCATTCCAACATCATGTTCCACTCAATCCGAGCGAATGTAAGAGAAGGCAGTATGCCCATGAGGTTTCGACGCTTCGCGGATTCCCTAAACCGTTGGCGAGCTTCCTTCATGTATATCAAGCCCTTCTCATGCACATGATGCTCCAGAGCACAGATGTGAAAGCACAGTGCTTTGAGATCCTCCCGTGGAAGCCAAGCAAAAACGAGTTCATCTTTTCTCTCAGCGTTCTTCCTGAACACGCCACCTGTGTCGAACGTCAGATTACCACCATAGCTTCGCTCAATGAGAACAGTAAAGACTCCGGTTTCGGAACCCCCCTTTTCATCTTTCTTGCCCAATATAGCTTCGAGAAGGGACGTTGCTTTCTGTGTGTCTGGTCGGCCAGTCTGGATGCCACTAGCAATATCAATGACATCAATCAGAGTGCCGAAAGAGCCCAGATCTTTAGCTGACACCTGGAGTTGTAAACTCCGCGCTGCTGCAATAGCGCGTTGAACTTGCTCAAGCCGATCTGCGGCGCCAGACCGCAGATGGACCATCGCTTCAAGCGCACAACACGCCACATATATGGCACGATCTCCACGTCGCTCCGCATGGCCCTGTATCGCGTGCAATTGCTGTAGGACCATGACTATTTCCATACGACCTGGTATTTGCAATGCCAGTGTCACCTTGAGGAAGCGCAATGCGTATACCCAAGCAATATGTTGAAAAGTCTCTGCTTCAGATATTGGTTTGTCTAAGGACTTCAACCCGGCTCGATGGTTCGTCTTGAACTGGTACCGCGCTTGGAGATGGAGGGCAGCAAACTTCAAATCCTGTAATCTATGTCTGCCACACAGTGATATTTGCTTGGAAAGAATCTCTTCAATGCGACTTGAAATATCCGTAGCCTCAATATCCGTCTCTTCTATCATAAGACTTGCATATCTTAGGCGTAACTTTGCTTCATCCCTAGGTGGCATATTAAAATCCCTCAACACAGTATCCATACACCCCATAGCAGTAGATATAAGTTTGTAGTATTGTCTGACATCAGCTTCCTTTCTTTGACTCCCCAAAAGTGATCCCATACCCCGTGCGGCAGCAATGTATTCGTCAGCTGCCGTAAGAAGCAGATCGGAGAGTTCAGCAGGAAGGGCCTTTTGAGGAACATGTGCACGCTTCGTTGGTGTAAGCTGGTGGGACGAAGAGGCTCGAGGTATGACGACCTGAGGGTGCATTTTCGGTTTGGACGAAGGCGGTTGTGTACCTGGACTTGCATATTGGCTGGTCGGCGTCTGGGTAGGGGGTAGTACACGCTGCTGTTGAGGAGTAGTCTGTGGTTGAAGGGGCGCTCGCTGCAGGTTCTGGTTCTGTGTCGGCGTGTTCGCGGGTCGGGGCTGGGGTCTAGGTCCATTCTCTTGTTGCGACGATGACTGCTGGACTGGCTTCGCGACAGGCATGACCTGCGGCTGTTGTGCGCTATATCGATGTTGCTGATCAACCGAGCCATCTGTATGAGGAATTCCCACACTGCTTGTACGTTGCACTGGCACCTGCACATGCCGTATTCGCGGGGGTTGCATTTGCATAGGAGACCCATAGTTGGGTGTCCTCGCTGGAATTACTACCTGTGGCTGTGATCGATATTGTGGCTGCTGGGGAGGTCGCTGGGCGGGTTGTTGGACAGGTTGCTGGACGGGTTGCTGAGGAGGTCGCTGTACAGGCTGCTGGTTAGGTTGTTGAGTAGGTTGTCGTGGAGGCTGTTGGGGAGATTGCTGGGGAAGTCGTTGCATAGGCTGCTGCATATGCTGCTGCGGTTGTTGCGGGCGTTGCTGAGGGCTCTGCTGAATATACTGCTGTGAGTTCTGCCTTGAATGCTGCTGCATATGTTGTGGTTGTTGCATTTGCGGCGGCATCTGCTGGTATTGCTGGTACTGCTGATTCGAGGGCCGGGGCATGACGGGCTGTGGCGGAACCTGATATGGCGCTGGCTGTGACTGTGAATAGCCTTGTTGCATGGGCATCTGCATATGCATTGGAGGATATTGTGGGTAGCCATGTTGTTGCTGGTAGCCGTTGGGCGGCGGTTGCTGCTGTTGTGGAGGCGGCGGCGCATACGGGTTATACTGGCCGTTCGGATAGCCTTGCGGCGGCCAGTTGTACCGGGGGTCCATTAGAAGACTGTAGCGAAAAAGGATCACGATTATTCAATGCGAAAGCGTTGCATGGTGGGCGAAAGCGGGGGTGAGGATGTCAAGACATGAGTGACATGGGCAATCGCGAAGGACGGAAAGTCGCGAACGCGCCAGGCTACTGGAGCGCGATTGGCAGATAGACGCGCGCTTGTAGCATCACTTGATACGGCCTAGTGGGCTCACAAGCCGAGGCTCTTTTCAAACGTGTCCAGCGCTATAGATTTATTTCGTCCTGGGTCTGAAATGGATTTGATTGTTCTCTTGCTCCTCGTCTAGCCGTAAAAGTTAAAGGTTCCACAATTTTATACGCATCATAGGCGAGATACCTACACATCCAGACAATCGGCGTGCCTTGACAAAGAGTTAGCATATAGGAAAGGATTCTCCAGCCCCATATTTGTTCACATCCCGAGGCATTCCGGACGACACATGTGAAAGGAGAATTGAATTACAAGAAGAGAAAGAAGCTCTTTTGTTATCTCGTTTCCAGCACACTGCATTCCCAGCAAAAGCCACCATGTTCAACTTATCGTGGCTGCTAGGCCACAGCAAAACCACCTACACATCCCACCAATCTCCTGCAACTCTAACAACAAAGACTGGATCGAAGACCACATTAGAAGAAGTCGCTGCCTCCTCAATTCCGCCATGTCGCCTGAACCCTTTCCTCTTCAACGGCCACCTACAAACCATGTACACGGCTGTCAAAGACCCAGGCCCACCAGTTTACTATAAGAGGCAAATCTTCAACTCAAACCATTCT